CTCCCCCCACGGTCAGAGCCCCCCTGTCCAGAGGGGCCCCGGGCCGGCCAAAGCTCCGAGCCTCCCCCTCCCCCCGGAGGAATCCCGGGCCAGCTGCAGCCACACCTCCCCTCCCTGCCCTCCCCGGAGCCCAAGCTGCCTGGGAAAAAGTGTCTCTAAGGTCCGGAAGAAGCTTTTGATATGTCCCATGCAGGTTCCAGGGTGGTTTAGGAGGCAGTATTTGCTATTCAGCTTCCTGGGTTCATCAGTAATCTCCCTGGAGTCCATGGGGCATAATAAATCAAAACCATCCCCCCAAAACCTCGCAATCGAGGGTCCGGCAGCCACAGCAGCTGGCCTGTTATACCCGCCGCCCATGAATCAAAGGTTCAACTAAGCAAATAAATGAACACAAGTTACTTTGCAACTTGACTTACTTAACAAAGTAAAGAGGGTACGTCAGATGCCAAATACAGCTTATGAAAGGGATGAAATTGGGAACATTAAGAGGAAGTAGCTTTTGATTCCAGGGTTGAATGAATAAAAGAAAACATTTTTTAAAACAGTCTCAGGGCTAGCCCTTGTTTTCTGGGCAAACAGACTGAAAAGGAGGACAATAGCAACTCTCTTTGATGATGTATGGGGCGATATTAAAAGGCCCTAGAAGGAGCAGTGTACAGCCTGCCTAAGTTGAAAAAAAGTTAGCATAGAGGAGGTCATTTGAGAATGGTCAGATCAGATGTAAAAGAAGGACGGAAACTGAAAAGATATGAGGGATCCTGAAGGTAAATTAGAAATCTTGTCAATTTCAGTTTAGGCTGAAACTTGAAAATGCTGTTTTCTAGAAGTTAGGAACCTAAATACCTTTGTGGATGTTGGCCTTGGCTCTTACAGTTTGCAGTGATTTTGTTTGGAAAACAGTTTTTAATACAAATGTGTTTGTAAATAAAAAATACAATTATGGTACTCAAAATATAGTTCCTAATTTAAAACCCCATTTCTAAGTCATTTTTTAAAATTATACTTCATTTTAAAATGCGAATGAATTTTTTTATAAAACAAACACCACCCAGCTTGGGCCTCATGCCTCAGAATGGACTCTGGGTCATCAAGAAAAACTTCATACATTATCACATGTTACTGTAGACAAAAAGAGATAGGGAGCAGACACACATGGTAACTAATGCGAGTCATAAGATTGCCTGAACATCAAAGCGGTCAGATGACATGGTACAAAGAACTAAGTTTCAGTGGTTTCTGGGGTGATCAGAATCCAGACTGGTTCTTGTTCATAGCTGGCTAGTGCATAATATGTATGCATATACTCAGCAGTGCCAAACCCTAACATTCACTAACCATGAGTCAGGTATCCCAAAATCATGAGATTGCAAAATATATATATTTATATTTTCACATTCTCTTTACTTGCCTTATAATTCCTGAACTTTCAGGGTGTACCTAGGGCACATTTTCAAGCTTTTCTCCATAGCCATGTGGGTTACAAACTTACTTAAAAAAAAATGAATGCTGAAATGCTCACATAATCTCCTGACTCCAGGAGCTGGGGCTTTAAGTAAAAGACCAACTATCATGAGGCTTGCAATAAAATCATGGGAGTTGGCAACAGTGCATATTGTATTGGGCTGTGACTATTACGGTGCCCTGCTTAAAGAAAAATATAGCAATCTATACTCTAAAAGTGCGTGTACAGTACCTAGAATGAGCAGGTCCTGGCCCATAACTAAGGCTGCTAAATTCTACTGCAATATAAATAATATAATAAAAAGATGTGTTTGCTGGTGATTCTGCTTTCATTTCAGTATTTTTTTAAACTAATAGTTAAAGAGGAAGCCTAGTAACAGAAGTTTTGTCAAGGAAACAAATGTTTTTATACTTTATTATATTATTAATTATTATTTTTTATTATTACACATTACCTGATTGCATCTAAGGCTGCTATATTTGTATTCAAGGACAAACTGAAATACTCTTGTCACTACTGAGCTTGGAACTGGAGCAGTTGTGGTCCTGCCATTGATTTCAGTGGACTTTGGACTGGGCCCTTTTATTGCCAGTTCACATTGCATTCTATAGCTTTAAAATACTGCTGCCAAATGTTGAGGGAACAAATGACTATATGTATACGAGCCTTAATTTTCCTTCCCTCTGTAAAAAGCAACAGAGAGTCCTGTGGCACCTTTAAGTCTAACAGATGTATTGGAGCATAAGCTTTCGTGGGTGAATGCCCACTTCGTCAGACGCATGCAGGGCCGGCTCCAGGCACCAGCCCACCAAGCATGTGCTTGGGGCGGCGCCTGGAGGGGGGCGGCGCAGCGGGGCGCTCCGGCCCGAGAGCTGGGCCGCGACTGGGCTCGCCGCCCTCCCCGCGACGCTCCGGCCGCCGGGGAGAGCGGAGCCGCAGCAGGCTCGCCGCCCTCCCCCCGGCGCTCCGGCCGGTCGAGGAGAGCGGGGTCCTGTCCGGGCTCTCCGCCCTGCTCCTGGCGCTCTGGCCGCCGGGGGCTCTCCGCCCTCCCCCCGGCGCTCTGGTCGCCGGGGAGAGCAGAGAGCCCCGGCCGGGCTCTCCGCCCTGCTCCTGGCGCTCTGGCCGCCGGGGAGAGCGGAGAGCCCCGGCCGGGCTCTCCGCCCTCCTCCCGGTGCTCCGGCCAGTAGTGGATTGCGGCCCGCGGCCGGGCTCGGCGCCCTCCCCTGCCGCGCTGGGGGTGGCGGGGTGTGTGTGTGTGTGTGTGTGTGTGTGGACGGTGGCTTTTTTGCCTAGGGCGGCAAAAAAGCCAGAGCCGGCCCTGAACACATGTAATGGAAGTTTCCAGAGGCAGGTATAAATATGCAGGCAAGAATCAGTATGGAGATAACGAGGTTGTCTGTGGTACTGATACACCCTCCCGCCAACCTCCATCACTGTAGTATCTGAGTACTTCATAATCATTAATGTCTTTATTTTGCCTCACAACACCCCTATGAGGTAGGGAAGTATTATTATCTCCACTTCCCAGATGAGGAACTGAGAAATTAATGGCCAGATTTTCAAAGGTATTTAGGTGCCTAATGACAGAGAGAGGTGTCTAATGGGATTTTTAAAAATCCTTAAGAAGGTTAGGTGTCTAACTCTCATTTTATTTCAATGGGAGTTAAGCACCTAATCAGCTTAGGTACTTTGAACATCTGGCCCCAAATTGAGATGCCAAGGTCACACAGGAGATCTGTAGCAGAATAGGCAACTGAATCCAGCAGGTCTCTCAAATCCCAGCCTAACCCCCTAACCACTGGACCATTCTGCCTCTTTGATTAAATTATTTTCTCTGCTGTCAGCAATACTTCACTATGAGAGGGCAAAAAATAAAGCAGATTTCCTTGCAAAAACACTTTAGCAATTTATAGAGCATTGCCCCAACTACTTTGAGCATATGCCATGTCCCCTTGCCTTCTCCATAGAGAATATCAAAGAAACAGTGAGAGACAAGGTTGGTGAGGTGATAGCTTTTATTGGCCCAACTTCTGTTGGTGAAGGACGAGCTTTTGAGCTACACAGAGCTTCTTCAGCATTTTACCCTCCAACAGAAGTTGGGCCAATAAAAGATTTATTTCGCTCACCTTGTTTCTCTAATATTCTGGGACTAACAAAGCTAGAACAACACTGTACACAAAGAAACCTATAGGCCATTAAACAAAAAGACAACATGTTTCTTGTTGATTACTTAGGAAGCTTTAGAAAGGTTTGGACTAGTTTATGGGATCATTACAAAATAATAAACAAATGTGATCATGAAAAACAGAAAATTGGAACAAGATTAAAAAACAAAGAAATGAGGATCAATTCTTCTTCTAAAGTCAATGGGAAAACTCCCATTATTTTCAGTTGAGGCAAGATAAAACCAAAGTTGCCAAGAATATATGAAGCTTCTAGATGAGCTTCTGAATGTAGCGGATAAAAAAATGCGCTCAAAGGAGCACATTTTTCAGTATCATAATTCACCAAGTATAGGGTGACCATACGTCCCATTTTTGGCCAGGACGGTCCATTTTTTATGTCCTGTCCCAATAATCCTGTCTTTTTTGGCAAAAGTGGGCATTTGTCCCGTTTGCTTTTGCCAACTTGATCAGTTGGCAAGAGCAAACAGAATGCCCACTTTTGCCCAAAAAGTATGCGGAGGAATGTGCGGGGTGGGGGGAGGCGAGTGGCGATGCCAGCCCCATGCAGGCAGGGCTCAGACAAGTGGTGATCATGCTCCAGCCTCGCAAGGGGGTGGGAGGGTGGCGGCCAGGGCTCTGGCGAGCACCTTGGGCCAGCCTTGCAGACAGGGAGGGGGGCACCTGGGGCTAGCCCCGTGCAGTGTCCCATTTTCCCTTTAGGAAATATGGTCACCCTAACCAAATCTTGTAAGCAGCTTAAGTTGAAGGGGTAAATTTCCAGAGACAAACAAAATGATTAAACTCTTTAACCTCATTGAGAATCTTACATGTAGAGCACCGTGGCACAATTTGAAAGTTTACTCCTAAAAGGCAAACAATTTTAGAATACACCTCTACTCCGATATAACACGACCCGATATAACATGAATTTGGATATAACGCAGTAAAGCAGCGCTCCAGGGGGGCGGGGCTGCACACTCCGGCGGATCAAAGCAAGTTCGATATAACGCGGTTTCACCTATAATGCGGTAAGATTTTTTGGCTCCCAAGGACAGCATTATATCGGGGTAGAGGTGTACTTAAAAATAAATTTAGCTGCTCCGCATTCTTCTTAGTTTTATCCATCATCTTACTCTCGTGTACAAATACCTAATAGCATGGCATTGTTAAGAAATAACATTGATACTGCCGTAATGTAATGGTCCCTCATGCAAACGCACAATGAGTTGAGCAACTGACCTTGTGAGAAACATCCATCTGTAGAATCTGAATAAGGGGAGATTCAACCTCAGCTCTGAGCTGGCTCAAATTTCACAACTAGGAAAATGCAAGATAAGGTTGCCTCATCATGATACTACCTTTGCTCTCTCCCTGAAGCATATAAGGCATTCTCTGCTTCATGTAACTTCAGATCAGTCGACTTTGCTCCCAGGACTAAGGCAACTTTCATTCTAAAAGAAAATGCTCTTTAATTTGCGGAACCTGCTCAATGCTGCAACTTTAAGAAAGAGCAGCAAGCAACTGGTGCAACATTTTCGGTAAGTGTATCATTTAGATTTGTCCTTCAGTTAGCAACATTGAATCATAAACCTGGAAACTAAGTAATGAGTTCTGTAGAGAGATCAGTATCTCAGCTAAAGGCCTCCTTCTTAGAGCTGTTTTGCCCTTTGTTTTCAGCAGCAGACTGTAATTGCACATGAGAGTGGAGGGTTTTTATCCTTTCACTTTTCAGTCCTTGTGGAATCATGTTAAATTCTTTGCAAATAGGTTAGCAGCACACACTGAAATATTTGTTTGTTCTTAAATTCAATTAATCTCTGGCGGTATAATCATCACGTATCATAAACACCCAGTCACATATCTGAATATAATGTAAGGGACTGTAATTTCTACAGACAAGTATTTTGATCAAATACTGAAGGGGAAAATTCTCCCTTCCCAGCTTCACAGTGAATCTCAGCCTTAGTGTTCTGCTCTCTCGCCATATAATCCATGCATGCAGGAAGAGCATAATACCAGGGTCAAGACTAACCATGGAGATCTGAGAGCAGCACTTCGCTGTAATTGTTTCAACAGTGTAGATTTGGCATCTCATGTGGGCCTCTGAAAAATACATCTATGACAATATTTAATTACATTGTTTTCAATCCTTGTCACAACTTGAGGAACAAGTTAAAATTAGAGATTTAGGGCTTGACGCTGCATCATTGAGATCTTTGGATGTTTTGACATTGATTCCAATGGGAACAGGATGTAACAAGTTTTAAGTGTTCAAAAACTGTATGCAAGGGTTACATACACACAGATCCCATTAAACCATAAAAGTCATTTTCATTTGTCTTCTTTCTCCTTTGGACCAGTTTGAAAATGTTTTCTGAGCTCTCTGATTTATTCGTTCCCCCATATGAAGAATGCCCTGTAGTAGTCCAGCTTTGCATATGCATTGCTGGTGACTAGCAAAATATTGCTTTGGTTAGCAAACTTGATATGGAAGTCATTATGGGGAAATAACTACAGTGGCTCCCCTTTCTCAAATGTGGCCACCTAACTTAATTGGGCTCTCTATGCTATTTTTACAGTCTCACTTTTTGAGCCATAACTACCCTCTAAATTGGATTATAAGGGAGACTATGTTAACACAACCATTACAAATTTAAGATATCACCATAAGCTCTGATCAATGCCAGCTAACCAAATGATGGTTTAGAGCTCAAGGAAGTCAACCAGTTATTATAATGGTTGAAGGAAATTGCCATTCCCATTCAAAAAGAAAAAAACTATTTGGCTCATGATTTTTTTCATTACACTTTAATTTTGCTTCCCTGTATACCAACTGCCACTAGTATTTATTTGGTCAGTAATGCCTCATTTGAAAAGACACTGGCAGCCCTGAAAGGAACACTACACATTGCTGACGACCATTGCCTTCCTCCGCGGCATAGGGCAGGGGTCTCAAGCTGGAGGATTCTCTGCGACTTGAAGTCTTCAAATCATGATCTGGAGACTTCAACAGCTGAGATCAGGGAAATTGGGTGGGCCAGCTTTTGTGGCCTGCATCATGCGGGAGGTCAGACTAGATGACCATAATGGTCCCTTCTGACCTTAAAGTCTATGAGTCTATGAGTCTATAATAAATCTTGGAAAGCAGTATGGGTCATGCAGAATTTGGCTGAAATTTTTTTAGAGCTGGAAACAATAAAATGTTAGAGACAACTCAGTGAGGGAGAGTGGAGTGACTGAGCAGCAAGAGGTTGCAGAGCCATAGAAGTAGAACTAATGCATGGGCCCCAAAGTCTGGTGACATTTAACATTAGGCTTCAGATGATCTGCTAAAAACCTGGAAGTCAAATAATTGAATATTTCCATTTGCTCCCCAGAGCCATTCAGAAAAAAGCAAGCAAACAAACAAACAAACAAACAAACCCCATGTCATCTCTTTATGTTCCAATCAGTTCAGTGACCTGCTCACCCTGCCCTAATCTAAAAAAGGGAAACAATTAAGAAACAAAGTTTTCTTACAGTATATATCCATAAAAGTTAGAAGCAGAATCACATTTAAGTTGTTATTTAGTCTGCCTTGCTATTTTATTTTTCATGAGATTGTGAAGACTACCCAATACATATGAAGGCTCAAAGTCAAATCTGCTCTTCAGCGCCCAGGTATATGTCAGTGTGTATCTTGTAAAATCAGCTAGAGCACTTGAACATACATGCAAGTCAAGGATTTTGCTGGTTATACCATACCTGTATGGGTTGCAAGGATAGCACTGAGTGCTTTGTGTGATTTTTAGTTGTTTTCTTAGTTATTCAATTTTAAATTTTATTTTATTGCTTTATTTTTATAGTATTTTATTTTTAAGTTTTGCTAGACAAAGTTATAGATCTTGTTAGCCCACAAAACCTATCCCTTCAGAAATATCTCGCTAAGAACAACAGAACATATAGATTTAAAAATTAGGATCTACTAGTCTGTTGGTTTAACAAATGTTGTGAACTTCAAAGAGCCAGATTTCCAAAGGGATTTAGGCATCTAGATATATGGCTAGGCATCTAGTGGGATTTACAAAATCTCCTAACCATGAGAGTTAGGTGCTTTTGTATATTGCACTAGATGACTAACTATTAGAGCTGGCAGGAAAATGGAATTTCTCTCCCAGTGGAAAATTTCCATGTTTTGGAGAGAAAAAATTGTTCCAAGTCAGGGCAAAGTAAAAAAAAAATCAAAAATATTCTGGAGAGGAAAATTCCGAAAAATTCCTTTCTGGGAGAACCAGAAATGGGAGCTTTCAGCTTGCTCCTGGCTGCCTGACTCTCAGGGCAGCTGCCTCTTTGTGTTGCCTGACTCCTCAAAGAGCTGTCTGCTTGCAGAGTTAGGAAGCTCCAGGTGGCAGCTGCCCAGCAGGCTGGGGAGCCTGGGCTAGCAGGAAACTAGGCAGGTTGGTTTCTATGGAAAGTTTCAACGGACTTAGTACCTTCCCACAGAATGTTTCCACAAAGCAGCATTTTCTGGAGGAAAAGTTCTGTCAGAAATTTTTCAACCAGCTCTACTACACACGTCTTTGGGTGCCTTTGTAAACCTGGCTCAGAGCTACTAAAATACAACTAATAGATGTTTGTTACTAAGAAAATGTAAAATAATTATGGGTGAGGTTTCCAAAAGTGCTCCAGGTTGGCCTTACTCTGCTTCCATTTACCATTGACTTCGCACAGTTATACCAATGCTTGTGAAAATTCCATCCTATAACAACCCATCAGTGTCAGATTTAAAAAATAATATGGGCTACTCTAGGGTGACCATATGTCCTGTTTAGGCTGGGACAGTTCCTTTTTTAAGCCCTGTCAGTTGGCAAGAGCAAATGGGACAAATGCCCCCTTTTGACAAAAAAGTGGGGTGCAGCTGAACGTGTGAGGGGACAAGCGGTGATGCCAGCCCTATATAAGGGGGGGAGGCAGGGCTCAAGCAAGCAGCCATGCCAGCCCCCAGCCTTGCACAGAGGGGGCAGACAGGGCTCGCATGCAGTGATGCCAGCCTTGTGCAGGTATGGGTGCTCGGGCCAGCCCTGGGTGGGGGGCGTAGGGGGACTTGGGCGAATGGCTCAGGACAGACCCATGGGGGTTTGGAGGTGCTCAGGCTAGCCCCACATGGTGTCCCATTTTCTCTTTGGTAAATACCATCATAAGGCTACTCTTATTCCTTGTCTCTATGCCATACATATCCCCTGAAACAAACTTCCACATTTGGGGGGGGGGTGAAGAAAATAATAAAACAATCCAGTCTGATGCTGCAGTTATATCATATGCAAAACTCCCTGATGTCAACAGGTGTTGTGTGTGAATGTGCAGAATGAGTGCAGGATCAGGCCCAGATGCTAGTGCACAGTACTAACCACTTCTGACCAGGTATAAATCTTTTTGAATCTTCTGAATCTTTTTAAATAGGAAAGTTTTCAATTGACATTCCTGTGCCAACTTTGGTGGAATCTCTTTTTGTGCTAGATCCTCCACCCACTGACATCCATGGGTGTTCTGCAATTTACTTTAGTGGGAGCAAGGTTGCAGCATATATCTTTAATGGCTAGAGTAGCCTCTTTGGGAATAGTTTTCCTTGCCCCTGGGGATAAGAACCAGGTTAGCTTAGCGGTGGATCCAGTGGTGACCCAGCGCCTCCCTGCAGCCCACCACCCTCTGTATGACAGCATATAGTGAATCACAATAGGTTGGGCTTTATGCCACCAGGGCAACCGCCCCCCATCCTGCCCCTACTTGTGCAGCTACTGCATCATTTCCACTGCAAAGAAGCCCTCTGCACCAAAGGAGTTGAGGACAGAATTTATCTGATGGAGCAAACATTTTTAAAGGGGTCAGTAATAAAACAGTGTTTCGAATGGATATTTTCAGTTATAGGGAGAACTACTGCTTCTTGGGTTGAAAACGTGACAGACTATGAGATCTGTCATATTTGCACATGAAGATTTAAGAACTGCAGTGTCTGTGTGTGGTACCACAACTTAAGGTCTGGAACCTTATGTGTGCAGAGTTCCATGTCCTGCCTATGCCAGAGGGATTGTAGAAAAAGAGTCCCACTATTTTGACGTGATGGTAAAGACAGAAAAAGCCACCAGAGCTTCATATGGCACTGGTGCTCCCATTCAGCTCAACTGCTAGTAGCACTCCTGGGAATTTTTTTTCTGAAATTCCTGGCCTCAAAGACTTGTCAGGTGGAAGCAGTTGCAACTGAGCATTGGCTTGGAGGTATTTGCAAATAAAACCCCACCAACTCCATTCATTTATTACTTTATTCTTCTTGGTGTTTTGACTCTGATCTAATTAAAGTCACTGCAGTTAATGAGAAAGACATACTTGGCTTAGGACCGTCTAAACTTTAGAACTAGTGAAGTGCAAGTTGTGTTACAATAAAGAGGGTTGCAGATATAATCAGTCCCTGTTTAGCAGAGAAAGGGTTAAATTACCCATCAGTCTCCATTATTTGGTTTAAGGTTATAGAATCTTGGCTTTACTCGGCTGTTTGATCAAGTCATGTGCCATCTAAGATAATATGCACTTTGCAGTGTCACTTCTGCGGGAGACTATAAATATTCCATTTCATCTGGTTCTGGAATGAGCCCTCAAACCTACCCCCTCTCATCAAATATTGAGCAATGAGCTGCTGGATTCTCTTATTGGCAATATCAGTTTCTGGAAATGAATTTGAAAATGTGTGCGTGTGGCTCACAAATCAAACTTTATTTATATCCATAGGAGCAGTCCTGGGCCAGCTCCCCAGAGCTGGGATTGGGAAAAAGAGCACAGGGAGTCATCTTGCCCCAACTCTTTGCAGCCCTGTTCAAAACAAGCGACAATGCAGCCTTAAGTGTTTAACCCGACCCTGAGTGGGTTTCTACATTTGGGTTTATTTGATTATATAACCCAGATACAACTACTAGAAGTTATAAGAAACAAAATCAGTTTCATGGATGATAATAAGAGAGATGGTTACAATGGTGATTAATATAGCGAACAGTGCAGTGTTGTGGCTGTGTGAGATAGGGTGACCAGATGTCCCGATTTTATAGGGACAGTCCTGATTTTGGGGGCTTTTTCTTATACAGGCACCTATGACCCCCCATCCCTGTCCTGATTTTTTACACTTGCTATCTGGTCACCCTAGTGTGAGATGAAAAGTCACAAACTAATTATCACAGGCCATGAAGGTTATCTTGCTGCGTCAAATGATAGTAGTGAAAGAGGGTTAGCTGGTTGTACATTAGCTTTAGCATGCGTAACATATTAATACCCAATGACAAAGAGCCTGTTTTTGTTGTAGGTCTGGGCAACCAACTCAAACTAATGTTAATCTGAAAGGTCGTGACCTCCTAACTCTGCAAAGTTACACAGCAGAAGAAATAAAGTATTTGCTATGGACGGCATCAGATTTGAAACAAAGAATAAAGGACAAGGGAGAGGTATGTAAAATTTCAATTAAAATCCATTTTGCTTGTTCAGTCACTCAGCTCACCAAATCAAGATTGTCATACAAGATAATGTGAATCAGCAACTAAACTGGCTTGTCCTAAACAACCACTTCAACCCTTAATTAGTGTAAATTGTATACATCAAATGAAGGGCCAGCCAGTAAAAGGCAAAATGTTGTTCTTTGGATGAAGTAGGGGATTTATGCTGTTCAAAAGTGTGTACCCCTTATCTAATTCCCTGTTATTGGATATTCCCAATGATTTCAGTTGGGCTACAAGCAGAAGTAAAGGTTTACAGGAATAGGAGCATTATTCTGTATGTAGTGTAGGAGCAAGATAAGAATCAGAGATCTCTTTCATTTGTTTAAAACAACAAAACAAAAAAATGTAGATGCTTTTTGCCCCTAGAACTTTCTGTTTCTCCCAAACTCTTCCCAATGCTAGTGACGACTTTGGAGGGGCAGGGGATTAGAAATGATACAGTGACTGCTTTTATTATTAATTTCCGGCAGCCATTAAACTGTGAAGCAAATATTAGATAATGTATAATGAGTGAACAATTTTCCAAATCTCTTTCCGTTCTTGTTTTTCAGTATTTGCCTTTGTTGCAAGGAAAATCTTTAGCCATGATTTTTGAGAAAAGAAGTACCCGAACAAGATTATCCACAGAAACAGGTAAATCTAGACAAAACCATGTTATAACAAATATTTTCTCTGCAGAGTACATTTGTCCATATCATGAAGCCATTACTTGGAGAGCAGCAAGGATGAAAGTCAAGTCTGAGGAGAATGGCAGTTTACTCAACAGTGTGAGCAGTGTCTTGTTCTGTTATGCCTCATTAATACTACAGGCACATCTCTTTGATCACTAAAATCCCCCAGGGTCAACTCTAAATAAGTTAGAACTGAAATAAAACAACAGAAAGCAGAAGGTTTTCATGATGTAAGTTTCATGCCATATTAGCTAGCTGTACACTTTCCCTTCACTCATTTTAGCAAGTAACACCAATTTAATTCTGCACAGGCTGTCATAACTAACATCTTTCTAATTTATTATGCATGACTGTTGTCAATCTCAAGGCTTGCCTACATGGAAACTTAGTGTGCGGTAAGCCAGGATGTGAACACAAGCCTGCCATGTGTTAAGTCACCATGTAGACCCTTCGTCTGTGCACTAAAGGTTCCGTAGTGTGCTTTGACATACTGTTGTTTGACACAGCGGTATGCCAGAGCACAATATGGAATTTTTAGTGAGTGGCAGCAAGGTCCCTACAACTAGTTAGTGTGCAGAAAGCTAGTGTACTGTCTATTCACACACTGGCTTGCTGCACACTCAGGCTCCATGTAGACAAGCCCTCAGAGTATGTATTTAGACTGAGAATCATAATTTAAATTAGAGAAAAATCCCATGACTACCTCTAGAGAAACAAACTTGGGATGGGATGGAGAAACGGGGATATTGGCCTAATAATACCAGGCACCGTAGACATGGATGCTAAAAGAATAAACACATACATAATTCTACTCATGTACGTAGCAGATGCTTACATGTTTGCAGGATTGGGACCATAATATTTTTGCACAGACCTAACCATTCTAACTTTGCATCCAATAAATCATTTAGGATTGGTGTCTTCTTTATGAAGACATTTATACCCACCAGGTGGGGAAATCTTTGCTCTTCCCACATTTACGCTGAAGTAAACAGTACTGGGCCCAACCTCCCTCAAGTAGAATTGTCCCATGCAAGGGACAGGTAACTTTGTAAGGCCCCTCTCACTGAGTTTCATCCAGATTTCTCTGTAAGAAGCAAGGGAGAACACAGGAAGAAGGGAAGGAAGGAACAGACTGTTCTGCTCTCAAGTCTGAAGATTCCCCCGAAATACATATGAATCTTAAGCAATTTGTGGCACCACAGGTGTCCGCATGGAGGTCCTGTGTCTTCCTGCTGGCTCCATGGTCCTCTCTACTCCTCCTTCCAGATCACGATCAGCATAGCTTCAGAGGGGTTTCAACCCCTGGCCAATGTACCAACAACTCCCGTTAAGGTCAGCCATCCCCCTTATACATCAGACCTCCTAGAGCCACCTAGGGTTGGTCTCCTGCACTTGTGTACCAGGCACATGTCAGACTGTTCCCTGCACTCCCTCCTCCGTCTAGCACAGATACGGGCATCATGTTGCCCTTTGCTTCTAAGATCTGGCTTCCACAGCAGATTCAAGTATTCCCCCTCCCTCCACGGTAATTCTGTACATCCCAGCTGCTATTTAAGGTGAAATGGCAGCTTCCTCTGAAATCATAACAAATGCCTCACACTCCTGTGTTGTGAAATAAATTCATTTCCTACCAATTTTCTAAAGTGTAAGTGAGGCCTACAAGACTTTGCAAGACTTCAGAGGCACACGTTATCTCTAATGGCATTTCTCAGGCACAAATCACCCTGAGGTCTTGAAAAAGGTCACGTGTGTCCCAAGGCTTTGATAATCTGTCCTCATGGATTTGCGTAAGCAAACATTACAACATTCCATGAAGCTGGTGGACAATTGAGCTGGAAATGACTGTATTTCACAATTGCACAGTGCAATAGCTAAGAGAAAACTGGTGTGTGTTAACATTGTGGAAATGTTAAAAAAAATAAAAAGAGATTCTTCCATTTTCATATCTTTAAAGAACTCAGTTCTTGAAAAATAAATACATGTTAATTTGCAATGCTATATGAGAGCATACTTTACATTTGTAGTTCATCCAACGTGTATTATTTCTAACTCAATATTCTGATGGGATTTGAAATGTAATGGAGAAATGGTGTCCTTTTGAACAAATACAATCTTGATGTTAATTTGATACGGAAGATTTCTAGTACATGTATTATTTTAGCATGTTATTAAGATTAAAACTATTAGTGTAAATTAAGAATTGTCAGTAACTTTCAGTATTTGTAAAATAAACCCATTTTTTTCAGGGCCTACCAAATTTATTACTATCACTTCCTATTACTGTGGGAAATGTCATCTGTTTGCAGTCACAGTCCCATACACATCGTCCTTGTATGTTGAAAAAAGGGCATTCCACATGGTCATATATTGTCTGTAAAATAAAGTTTCCCCTCTGTCATGGTATAAAGGTGAATGCCACCCTATGTTTCCATTATATCTAGCATAAATCATACCACCTCTCAATCATGCCCTGCCTCCTCAATTGTAACTGCACTTAAATATCAGTGAACTGACTGGTAGTAAATAAGGCCATTCTACAGACACTGAAATATGGACAATATGCTGCAAGTTTGAAATAGGGGAGGGACACACAAATAATACTCAAAGTTGAGGGTAACTTCAGATATGTTCTGGCATGTCATGAGACCCAGGGTCTAATTCCTCTATAGTGGAATACCGCTATTGACTAGAAAGGACTTACTCCCAATTCACACCAGTGTGAAAGAAAAGTGAGGTCCATAATGGTATAAACACACCATGTACATATATTCACACAAAGTTATATCATCCTAATGGATGAGTGAAACATATCAGGGAATACACTACCTGGCATTTAGAGTGCCCAGTGGTAGATACTGTCTAAACTGTCTATACTACTAAGGCAGATTACTTTGGTACCTTATTATCCTCTTCCAAAGCTATCCTTAAAAAATAGTCATTAGGTTTCAGACTGCAGCCCTTAGGAATGTTCCCCTAATTGCTGCTAAGTAGAGCTTTTAATTTTAAATCTTTAAAATGCATTTTCTACACTACATGCTAAATTCTGTCAGGCAGTGGCAGCCAACTCACAGTCAGAAGTGGAAGAACAATGAGGAAATTGTCCACTCAGAGAGACTATTCCTCAGGCCCTCCATGATAGGAGCAAGTTGTTGGGGTCTGTGGGTGAGGATCTCAGCCCAAGACTCAACAATGATAGGCATGCACAACTCTCTGCACCAATTATTCATAATCTTGGTAGAAATGGATTGCATAGGTGGACTCTACATAAGGCAACAAAAACTATCACTGTTTTTGCAGTATATTTGCACCAGGCTGGGGAGTAGTCATACCTCTTCCACCACGTGTACTGGAATGTGGTCCTTGGATGTCCAGCCTTGACTTCTCATTTTGTAACAAGCCCTCAGATAACTTCTTATAGGAGATTGTAACCAGGTGGTCATTTTACTGAGTGCCCCCTCATAGGTAGGAGTCACTTTGCAGGCACCCTACTCTGTAAGCCCCTTCTCACAGGCCCCTTAAGAACACCACATACATAATCTCTCTTTTGGTCAACAGCACCTCCCCCCAGGGTTGGTTTAATTACAGAAATGGTTCAAGCAGTCTTCAAAATCCCCCAGATAAAGTCCATAGCCATAACACAAAGGTCAATACAGTATTCACCCTTGTTCTTCTGCTACACACAGAACTCTTCCTCTAGTCCCAGCCTACTCCACCCAGAGCTGCCAATCCCCATCTTTCTGACTGGAGTGCAGCCCTCTGGCCATAGCTTCATTCTTCTGTCAGTACTAGCCTGTACTTTCCCAACAACCCTGTATTAATCCAATACTTTCCTACAAGCACCTTTCTTATTTCATGAACTTTCTCCCCTTCACGCTATCCACCTGCTGCCCTTTATAGGAAACTATCTGATTCCACAAAGGGCTGCATCTTTAGTAGTCAGGGTTGGGTAGCCCCAGGCCTTCCAGCCCTTAAAGGGGAAAACCACTCTGCTAGATGTTGAGTGGTTTTAAGGAGAAGGATTTGTGGGACCTACAGGGACATGTTCTGCTCTGACTTATGCTCCATGAAATTTCACCAAAGTGTATATTTTACAAAAGGCACACATGTTGCTCTATGAACATATGCTTTGCCTCCTACACACATGTCTTTGCTTCCTTTTTAAAACTGGCCACAGTGAGAAGCATGTGCATGGCTTCATCACCTGTCTCTACTTTCCAGCATGAGCTCGGATCCTCACGATAGTTGTTTTGTTTTAACTACTAATATTCACCCCAAGATCAATCATTTGTAAAGAACAATAGTTGTGGTGTTATCCTTTTAATATTTAATATGCTTGCAAAAGCACGTGAAAAGCTGTAGTAATGGCAATGCCTGCACTGCTATCTGCTGCTGAGAACAAAGCTGATCTACTTTAAACTTCCTTAAGGTTTAACAAAGCAAGAGTTTCTCAGCACCTTTTGGATCACAGCTTCCCAGACAAGAGGGTCTTAACTCTTCTATTGTTTATGTGGCCCTCTCTTCACCCCAAATGAAAAATAATGTCATCTGAAAATGCTGTGTTTAAACTACTTAGCATATGTGCAATGTGCCTCAGGTGGCATGTGACCAGGATTCATCACCAAATTTGGTCCACTGGTTGGATCCTTAGCTTCCCCTGCCCGGGCCAAGTACTGACCAGGAGTGTGACATGAACGCTGATCCATGTTCCCCTCTAAATTACTGAAGAGGTGTTTTCCACTCCAGAGGATAGCAAATTACCGTGACAATGCTGATCTGCCTGTGGGATGCTATGATGATACTAGGGGTTGTTTGGTTACTTCCTATAATCAAAATGGGAGATGGGAAGACCTGCTAGATCACCCAGTCCATTCTCCTGTTCTCTAGTGAATGAAATTTACCCCAGTGCAGAGGGAGCCTCACAAGGGCACTTAAGCCCAATTTAATCCCTTAGGCCCAGACCTTCAGCTGCACCAGAGCTATAGTCACTGCGTCTGAGCAGTTGGGGCATAAATATGGCTTTAAACCAGCCTTGTGCTCCCTCAAGCATCTCATTTAGAACACTGTCAGAGTGGGGCTAAATTATGCCCATCTGCAACAGCCACCACAGCAACACTCCAGCCAGGCCTCCCCTACCCAGACTGTGCCCAACATGCCTTCTATGCTGAGGCTAGGAAGGCAAGTGGCACAGGGCGATTTTCCCTGATGTTGGGATAATTCTCAACCAGCTCTTTAAGATAGCTATCACACACTGGAGCAGTGAAAAGCAGGCAGAACAGAGGCCAGGATCTGGCCCATAAGGTAAAAATCACATCAGTGCAGAGGCCCAGTACTTAAGTCCCACTTAAAATGGCACATAGGTCTTATGCCTGCACAGGAGTGAATTTCATCCTTAGGGCCTGATCCTAATCTCCCTTAAACTAGATGTATACACATTTGTACCTTCACTAAGATCAGTGGCTATAAACTCTCCCTTAAACTAGATTTACACAGGTGTGTACCTTCACTAAGATCAGTGGCTATAAACTAGTGTGAGAAAAGAATAACCCAGCCCTTAAAGTGGGGATTCAGTGATGGTTATTACAATGCATGAACTTGCATGGATTTTGCCTTGAACATAGGTCTGAGGTGATATCTAAAGGCCTTTAGGAGGGCTGTCTGTACTTGAATGGATTTCACCCTAGTGTGCATTTACCAGTGTTTTGTGAAGTCTGGAATTAAATGTCCCAAACAAGGGGGTGCCTCTCTTACTGCTGTTGTTGTTGCAAATACCTGTTCTCTGGGATTTATTTTTAAATCTCAAATTGTAACCATTCAGATTGTGTTTTGTTTTTAATCTTTGCAGGGTTTGCTCTCCTTGGGGGACATCCTTGTTTCCTTACAACCCAGGACATACATTTGGGTATTAACGAGAGTCTCACAGATACAGCACGGTTGGTAAAATATCATGGAATTGTTTTACATATGTGAAAGTGGTAGATCTGGCTGAAATTGGTGAGAAAATGTGAAATAAAAACACCAGGTTGGCGATAACTTTTTGCATGATTTTAGACTCCCCAAGTATTTATTTTCCATGAAATTTCAAAGGCACCCAAAATTCTCCACATTTTCGCAGTTTGCAAAATTCACTTGTCACCTTTTTGCATTTTTTCCATCCAGTGGGGGTGAATTAAGCCCTTGGATTCTTCCCCGAGCCCCACTCCATTCTATAGGAAGTTGACCAGAGCTTTAAAAACCACAGAAGTGTGAGGCTATTTCTTGCAGATGCTGTCACTTTGCCTTGCTCCCCATTAAGCCTTTATTAATGACTCATCCAATCTGGAGTATTGTGCTGCTTTCTAAGAAGCCCCTCTGCAGTTTAAGATTAATATGTCAGTGCTCAGATGCTCCAAGGTTAGTACCTTTCAAAAGGTCCTTTCTGCTCCGTCGAAAGACACACAACCTCAGGCTTGTCAAGCTCAATTCAAGAAACACAATCAGCGAGCTGTGGTTTTTTCTCTCCTGCTGACTATGTTCTTTGTGGTCGTTAGCTGGAGTGATTGTTTCTCAATACTGCATTGCTTTTCCCTCTGCAATGAAATCCAAGGAAAACATAAGAAAAAGGCCAAACTTTTGGACATTTTAGAGTATCCTTTTCCACCTTCATCTGTTGAAGGAGAGTGGGTATGGGGCAGTGATGATAGAAAGTCAGGCTTGCAGTCTCTTCAGGCTGGAGGACACTTAGCTCACTCTCCTCCTGTGTCCCACTAAACACACAATATTGAAGACACCAGAATATACATTAATTGTAATTAATGTTAACATGTTTTAGTTAAAGCCCCACCCAATGGCTTGCTTTGGTAGCTATACGTGTAGGTTTCTAACGCCCATTGAATGATGGGAGCTGCAGAGAGTGGCAGCCTAAGCTGTCAGTGAGGCACAATACAGTCTCAGGTTCCATCTCTGGGTTGTTCCTTTGTTCAGTCCTACTTCATCTCCCTTCTATTTGAATTCAAATGCTACAATGGGATTCAACCTCATTCCCCCAAAGTGACTTTCTTTCTACACCTAAGAATGTTGCCTCAAATGAAGCTGCTAGAGCAGCTATTGTTATATGCAGGTAGGTCATTTAAACTTACCAGACCACATTCATCCCTACTGTAACTCCAGTGACATTAGGGACAGGGAAGTATTACAAGAGAAGGGGGAGAGCTTCCCCTGCTCTATTAAAGGCAGATGGAGAGCTCCTCCCCCCATAAAGAGAGCACTGTTCTCCGAGCCCCTTCCCGCCTGTGTTTTCTTACTGGCTAGCAGTAAAGTGAGAACACACCATTTAAGAGGGTTTGAAAAGCAAGCAGCAGGAGATAGTTGAGAAGCTTGGGAGAGGGAAAGGGGATCAGATGGACACAAAAATCACAATGGCAGCTGGGAGCTATTTGCCAAAGCTAGAATGTGAAGGCTACATCTGATCGAGGCAAAGGTGAGGGGATTTAAAGAGGGACTGGATGTGGTCAGAGCAAAGATATTTGCAGCTGCACTTTGGATGGACTGAGAAGATGGATGGACTGATGCCAGAGAAGAAAGGTTGCAGTAATTCAAATGAGAATTGTTTAGAGTGGGGCTAAAGGTTGTTGCTTAAGGAATGGATGGATTTTGGAGAAGGGCAGGACGTGGTGGCAGCATGAAGGTAGGAGGGTCAAAGGAAAGAGAGAAGTGGAGGATGGCCTCCAGCCTGCAAACCAAACTGACAGGGAGGGTAGGGAAGTTGCCAAAGCTGATAGAGGGAGGAAGAAGGGATGGTTTGGCAGGGAAGATGAGGAGTATAGACTTTTGCTGTTAGCAACTGGTTCCAGGGACAGGGGGGAAAGGGTGAGAGTACTCCCCACCACTTAAGAGAGCCATCCCCAGGCAATACCGCACCAGAAAAACACAGACCCTGTATTTAGTTTGGAGGCTGTTGGTCATTTACTGACCTGGCAGGCAGGCTGCTCTACATAACAAAGATGTTCTGATAAATACAGTGGGCCTGCTCCTGCTCTGAATGAAGTCAATAGCAAAATCCTTTCTGACTTCCCCAGGAGCAGGACTGAGCTATTCACACAAAGAGCAAATGAAATATTGTGAGTCACCTCTCTAGTAGTGCTTGTGCATGTTTTATTAGCATATAGGTAGGTACCAGTATAGAAGCCTGGTTCAAGGAGCATGAAAATAAACAGACAATAAAAAACAAGGAATACTGGAGTTTTAACGAGTCTGGAGAGTATTCCAAATAATTACAGCTTCATACCTAGGGCTCCAAAGGCTTAGAAATAGTGGAGGCTGAGGCTTAACGTAAAGGGGGATAGAGGGCTGTAAAAGGCCTACAGGTTTTATTATAGTTGAAATACAGCCCCATTGCAGGTCCGTGTTTGTCAGTGTTTCCACTGAGAACACATTTTAGTGACTTGTAATTTGGCCATAACAAAGCTCCTCTGTGCTGTGTAATAGCTCTTAAAGACAGACACTTACACAATAACAGACAGAAGGGTCTTTAACATTTTCACTGCTGCTTAGCGTGTCCGATATATCAGGCAAACTGAAACGCTGGCAGCATTCTATGTACCTGGTATGCCATATTCTTCACGGCAGCACCGATGCTGAGCTGCGGCAGTGGCACTGAAGCAGTCAGTCATTAAACTTGATAGTCCACTGAGATTATCAGGGGTCAGTTCCTACATTTGTGTGGGATAGGCTTGCACCCTTGACCTACCCACCACTTATACAAGAACAAATATGCCCCAAAGCCATTTTAACAACCCCACTATTGACTTGGTAGCATTGAATTGGAAAATTAAACCATTTATTCAATAAACATTTTTAAACACTAGGGATATACATTTTGGATAGAAACACTTCCCTATCTCCTTGGTTCTTTGGGAGCTGTTACATGACTCTGCACTATTGCCACACCCAGTGCTCCCAAATCTCGAGATTAGCTTCAAAATCACGAGATTTTTAAAAAAATAACTGTGAAGTTCTTTTTCTTTGCCTTTTGGTTTTTGAGCCTTTAAGGTGCACTTGGGTCATATTTTCAAGCTTTCCTCCACACCCATCAGGGCTAGAAACTTAAAGTTTAAAATGAAAGTTGAGGTTCACACATAATCACGTCTGCAGTATCTGGGGGCTTTAAGCAAAACACCAGACATTTCAAAACTCACAAAAATCATAAGAGTTACATTGATTTAGTATCAACATAGGAATCCTGGTAACTTCTCCAGATACAGGGTAACCACTGATAGTCAGCCCCAGAGTCATGGGCCTTGCCCCTCCAATTGTCTTCAGAAACTCAGACACCCTAATTGGCCCCAGCTTCTCTCAAGATGACTCTGATTCAGTCCAAGTCTCTCTTTCTCGGCAAACCCAGCTGTCTGCTATTTCTTTCAAATTAGCTTCAGCCTGATTCAGTTATGGGTGAGTCTGGTCTTCTCTCAGGCCAGCTCCAGCTTCCTGGTGACTTCAGTCTGGTCAAGATTCTAACAGGACCTTCAGTTCGGCTTTCTAGCAGCGTAATAAAGGTGTGTTTGACACCATAATGCTGGTAAGAGCAATGACCTTTATTTCCTGGCTCCAGTTCTGTGACATGAGTCAGGGTTACAAGGTGATACCTTAATCATAAGGCACACGGTCAGTATTCACTGATTCCAGTACTCACTGCAGTGGCTATCTTTTCAACAGGTTAGGCAAGAAATCTAGCATCAGGCCATGTTATGGCTGAGTTCCCTGTAGCTACCTTACATTGAAAGGGATCCATCTTCTTGAAGCTCTTTATCAGTCATATGGTGACTAGTTTGCATAAAACCACATTTCCCCTAAATACCCATCCAAGGTAGATTAAACAAAAGTAACACCTTTATAACTTGTTAGCTAGAAAAAAATAATGGCACAGACAGCAACCTTACAGATTATCCTGTTCAGTTCTTCCTCTTTACCTATATAGGTGGCATCAATGATTTCCCTTAATGGGAATCTTATCTGAATAAGGAATGTTTGACTTCAGTTGGAAGAACAATATCATTGACTTCAATGAGAGACCTGCCTGTGTAAGGACTCTGACACTGGGACCTATCTTTCCAGAGGAGATGTAAAAATCCATCATGGCAAGTCAGCAATCCACCAATTGTAAGAGCATTCCTGTGACACTTTAGGGTTCAACCGAGGCCTGCCTTGCAACTGTGGGTGCCTTAAATGCTATGCTGCTGGGGTCCCAGATCTGATGCCAACCGGTAACACCCTGGCTCCCACTGCTCAGTTACTTTTTGCAAAGTGACCCCAACACCCGCCCAGCCCTGAATTTCCCCGAAAACATCTGCCCTGCAGTGTCCAGCTCTCTCACTGAACCCTTACAGAAGTTATTAAAGTTTTTTGCTCCTTTAAAGAGACAGTACACTGCAGCCCTCTTAATTTAACTTAGGTTAACACACCCTGCACTGAATTGGTTTATAGTAAAAGTAAAACAAGTTTATTTAAGAAAAGGACATACATTTAAGTGATATCAAGTATAAGGAATAAAGCTAGGTTACATACAAACAAAAATAAAAATATGCTTCTATGACTAAAGCCTTATTTAACTAATTAGACTCTTGTTCAAAGAAAGGTTTCTCACTAAGTCTCTTTTCCAGCATAGGTGACCAGAACCCTTTACAGAGCTCAGTTCCTTTGTTTCATCAGGTGAAAGATGCCAGAATGGCTTTTTCTCTCTCTTTATATCCTCCCAAAGTTCATTGACGCTGCTTCAAGAGCCAGGAAGCTTGCTGTGTCCACCAGGGAGCTGACACCATGTTCATTTTTGCGGTCTCCTGCCCCTGTTTTGATAGTTAAGAGGCTATCTCTCCAGCTCGCTAGGTTGATGGCTTTGTTTCCCTCTTATGTAAATGTAGCTTCATTGTCTCTGACAGACAACCAGGCTGGGCAGACAAGCAAATACACATTCCTTTTTTTAGGGCAGACTGGGCGTATGCACCGCTTGCCAAACACACTTTAAGAATCTAATTCTAGTGCATATTTATAACTGTTTGTACACATTCTGCACATACACCACACGATGATTTTCGGGAACAGTGTGAAACCAATTACCTTACATGACACTTTTTAGGTACAGATTATGACAACTGTGGGAGATGCAGTGAGTGTGCCAGGCCTGACAAGAGTTGCTGACAGAGTAATGAACCACCAATGGCCTCTGTGTCACAGTTCCATACCCTTCTGTTCACAGTTTTGCCTATTTGGTTTTAAGATGCTACTAGAGAACATTAAAACATACAAAATAATTCAAAAGAATCATACTTGAGGGCCTGATTACTTCCACAAAAGCACAGAATTGCAAAGCTAAGCATCCGATTTCATGCTAGATTCGCCTAAAAATATCCATATGACATAGAAAATGCAGTGCTCTCATAGCAGACTCATCCCTGAAACTCTACTTCCAAGGCACAAAACCATGAGCTGTAGCTAGAGTGCCAGTAATGAATGCCAAATGTCTTTATCCCTGTCGTTTAATTTAGAACCTTGATGCCACTTTAATAGTGTTACTGTGTGTGTTACAAAATATAATTATTTATATATGTTACACATTAGGATGGTACTGTTGTTCTTTACACCTTTTGAGTTGAATCCCTATCATTTTATATTAACAAACAATCGCCTCTGTTCCCTGCACATTTATTAATGTTGCATCATTAGTTCTGCTTTAGTGACAATCAAAAATGAAATAGAAAATCATTGAATGGGGTTGTGTGTGGAGCAAGAATTTCCTTTTACTTCTTACAGCTTGTTAAATGTCTGCATTTTAGTGGATTATGCAGATATCGTATATTATTCAGGCAACTGGAAAAAATTTATTCATTACCACCACTTATTAATATTTATACATTGCACATTGAAGAATAAAGTAGCAATATATTTATGATGTTTGACTTTGATATCTTTTGCTTTACCGTAGGGTGCTGTCTAGCATGACAAATGCAGTCTTGGCCAGAGTTTATAAACAATCTGATCTGGACCTGTTGGCGAAAGAAGCCTCAATCCCAATAGTCAATGGATTGTCGGATTCATACCATCCTATCCAGATTTTAGCTGATTACCTTACACTCCAGGTAATAATACCCTTCTCTTTATAATAACACAGCTTTTAGAAAACTAATCAGTCTTGCTAAATATTGGGAAAAGTCCTATTCCAAGCAGTTTATCCTTAGATGTTTTGAGATGGAACTGATAAGTAATTTGGAATATGTGTTGATATTAGAGGTCCCCATTGGACAATACACTTTAAGCAATTGAGTAGTCCCATCAATTTATGTAGGAATGAAGTTAAGCTTATAATTAAATTACTTGCTGGATTGAGCCCATGGTGCAAAAAAAAATGTGCAGGGTGCTTTACAGATTAAGATAATGGTGAGGTCCTGTCCCCACTGAAGTCAATGAGAGATTTGCCATGGAGACAGTTTTTCATTCTAAAGTCTTTGCCCTACCCTGTTTATAGTTGAGACTGAGACCTTGTCTATATTAGAAAGGTACACTAGTTTAAAAATCAATCTAGTTAAACTAGTGTAAGTCCTTAATGAGGATATATTAAACCTTGCTTATACTGAGAAGGAATGAGTTAGGATCATATTTTGTTGTTCTGATTTTAATATAGTATTTTATGTGATAACTATATAACATTGTACACATACAAGGCCAGATCCTCAGCCAATGCAAATCAATGTAGTTTTACTGAAGTTAATAGAGCTATGCCAATTTACAACCAGGTGAAGAACTGGCTTATAAAATTCATCAGTACATTGTAGGGCTGGATGAAAATTTTGGCAAATGCTTCCTTACTTTCTGAATGAATAGAAACTACTTTGTATGGATGTGATTGAGAGACAACTAAGGGGGGATATGATAGAAGTCTATAAAATCAAGACTGGTGTGGAGAAAGTAAATAAGGAACTGTTATTATCTCCTTCTCATAACACAAGAACTAGGGGTCACCACATGAAATTAATAGGCAGCAAGTTTAAAACAAACAAAAGGAAGTATTTCTTCACACAATGCACAGTCGACCTGCGGAATGCCTTGCCAGAGGATTTTGTGAAGGCCAAGACTATAACAGGGTTCAAAAAAGAACTAGATACATTCATGGAGGATAGGCCCATCAGTGGTTTTAGCCAGGATGGGCACGGATGGTGTCCCTAGCCTCTGTTTGCCAGAAGCAGGGAATGGGCGACAGGGGATGTATCACTTGATGATTACCTGTTCTTTTCATTCCCTCTGGGGCACCTGGCATTGGCCACTGTCGGCAGACAGGATACTGGGCTATATGGACCTTTGGTCTGACCCACTATGGCCGTTCTTATGTTCTTATCCATTTCCTAGATCATTCCGTCATTTCTCAGCCTGTGAAGGCCCAAATGTAGGAGAGTATGTGGCAAATACCCAGAATGAGGGGGAGAAAAAATTATTCATGCAGGAAACTACATGCTGTCAGGCTCATTCCTTTAGTGCAGTGATACTCAGACCTCAGTGGTTCAGGAGCCAAATTAGCAATCAACATTACCCAAAAGCGCCCCAGTAGTGTGAATTCATTGTTTCATTCACTATGGTACTATGTAGTCATATTTAAACAGTATGACGGGAAATATTTCATTTTTATATAGATATATATTATTCTCACAGCAAATTGACTGACTAAGTATTACTATTTTATCAACTACAATTGGTTAATAACATAGTAAAAGCATCCTGACTGGTTAATAATTAAGTCAAACTGTTTTAATATGTGCTGCAAAGAGCCACAGGAGACACGTTATGTGTTGTTTACGACTCAGGAGCCTCAGTCTGAGTATCGCTGCTTTAGCATAAATGACTCCTACATTTGATGACCTTGTTTTTGTTAGAAGTCATCTTCAGCTATAAAAGTGAGGGGACACCAAATCTTTATGGAACAGAGGTAACCTCGGGACTGAAATGAGTCATCCCTCAGAATGAGGTACACTTGAGAGAGATGCATTCAGCCAGCCTTTGTGTGAAGCTTAATTTATGTAAGGCAGTGAGTCATAACTAGAACTTTGGAAATGATAAAAAGTCATTTGTTTCATTTAAATGCTGAGTGTAATTGTAAAAGAGTTTCATCTGGCCTTTTATTTTTTGTCTCATAAACACTCTACCTATTAGCACTTATTTTCCCACCAGAGATTAGCAAGTTTTCAATAGTCATATATGACTCATATGTTTTATATAACGGTATTAATATTCCCTACTTACCAGCTGCGCTGCCACTCACTACTGCACTGTCACCTGTACTCTGGGATGCCTTTCTGATGGAGCTTAGAAAGCACGCAGTATTAACTTCCATGTTTCTTTCTGACTTCACTTCTGTGGTTTGGAGAGAAAAACATGACACATAGGTAGCTGGTTCCTGACTCCCATTTTCTGCACAGCCCTGCCCTGTGTTTTTCTGGGAGACGTTAGAGCAGAGGTGGGAAAACTATGGCCCATGGGCCACATCCGGCCTGCGGGACCATCCTGCCTGGCCCTTGAGCTCCCGGCCCCTCCCCCGCAGCCACACCGCCATGTGGGCAGCGCTCTGGGTGGTGGGGCTGCGAGCTCCTGCCAAGCAGCACAGCAGCGTGTCTAGCTCTGGCCTGGCGGCGCGGCTGCCAGACATGCTGCTCTGAGCAGCATGGTAAGGGGGCTGGAGGGGGTTGGATAAGGGGCAGGGAGTCCCGGGGGGCAGTCAGCGGACAGGGAGCAGCGGGCGGTTGGATGGGGCAGAGGTTCTGCGGTGGCAGGGGCGGTCAGGGGATGGGGAATGAGGGGGTTGGATAGGCGTGGGGTCCTGGAAAGCCTGTCAGGGAGCGGAGGGTGTGGATAGGGGTCGGGTGACTGGGAGCAGGGGGGCTGGATAGGGGTTGAGGTCCGAGGGGGTGGTTAGGGGCAGGGGTCCCAGTAGGGGGCGGTTAGGGGACAAGGAGCAGGGGGAGTTGGATGGGTTGGAGGTTCTAAGGGGGACAGTGAGGAGGCGGGAAGTGGGAGGGGGCTGTTTGGAGGGCACAGCCTTCCCTACCTGGCCCTCCATACAGTTTTGCAACCCCAATGTGGCCCTCGGGGCAAAAAGTTTGCCCACCCCTGGGTTACAGGTAGATAGATAGGATGAGATTTTGTGTTTTGCCTCTAAGAGGTGTAGTACACAACTTGCAGCCTAGGGGGAGTGTGAGCTAAGCCACTTTAGTACTCTCCTGATTCTGGACTGTTCTGCATCCATCCACATAATTTAGACAAGTCTGGGGGCCTGTTTATGTTACTTCACCGTTACTGCCCAAAATGTAGGGTTACCATTCGTCCGGATTCCCCCGGACATGTCTGGATTTTTGAGCTAAAAATAGCGTCCGGGGGGAATTTGTAAATGTCCGGACTTCTCCCCCCCATGCAGAGCGCACGCGGCTAACAGGGCAGCCGGACGGATGGTGCCACTTACATGAGGCTCC